GTGTGTGTGTGTGGCGGAGGGGAGGGAGAGTTTGGGGGGTGATTTCGTTCTCGTTTTCGGGAGAGGAACAGACGCTCGACCGCGGCGAACAATGCGACCGAAACTGGTGACGTTTCTCTTCCTCCTCGCCTGCGGGCGGGCGGGCACCTGGGCGGCCGCAGGTGAGAGTTTCGCCCGGAGAGGGTGCGAGGGCCGCTTGGGGTAACCCTGTAGAGAGCGGGGGGGTCGCTTGCTTGCTTGCTTGCGTGGGCATTAAGAAAACCAGCAAGTGAATCTCGGAGTCGCCCTGCGCTGCTGTGCAAAGCGGGGAGCGCGATTTCCTGAGGCTGAAATCTGCCTTTTTAACCCCTTTTCTCCTGCCATATCGGTGGAGCTGTTCAGCGTCGAGAGCGCAGAGGTGCCGACAGGACGCTGTCCAAAGAAAACACTGGAAAAGTTCAAGCGCTTTCTAGCACCGCAGTGTAAAAAAATACAGCTTTCTTCCTGCATTTGTTTTTTTTTTAATGAACGACGGGTCAGCGTGCGAACGGCTGCGGACATATGGGCGCCCTAACACCTAGCACGGGGATTCAGTGTTCGTGTTTAAATGTATAAACCGTCGTGATTAAATTAGCGCCTTCATTCAGTTCTGATTCGGTTAATTGGCGACTTCGTTCAGTTCTCTTTTCAGCGGTGTGCCTGTGTGCGCGATCGCTTTTGTTTTCCAGCAGTTTCTGCGTCCGTGTCTTTGTCGCGCTGAGGGGAATGGAAACACACCCGAGGTGTGGAACACGTCCTGCTCTCTCGCTGGCCTGGTTACCGGGCTCGGAGCTGATCTCCCCCCCCCTGCGCTCGTCAGCTCCACCCGCAGGACCCCTCCTCTCCTGGCGGGCCGGCCCCCGCGCTCCTGTACCCTGACCCCGCGCTGGGTAGCGCCAAAGGAATATACTCATAACTCACCCAGGGGCGCCACAGATAAGGCAGGGAGGCAGAAACAACGATCTGCTCTGTTTCTGGGTGGCTGAGGACTCTGCTGGTGTCCCAGCTCTTGTCCTGAGACATCTGGGCTTTCCCAAGACAGCGAAAGCCTTTCCCTGCTCTTTTAGTTACACCTGTTTTGCCCACAGGGAATTCTCCCTCTGTGCTCTCTGATTATTAACTAATTAACTCCT